CTCTGGTGATGACGCAGGAACTTTGTAAACTTTAGTCTTGATTGTCTCCTCTTCTACTCCCACTTTTGTAAGTGTTACAGTGGTGTTGTTTCCTTTGAGTGCCAGTGCAACTACTGTTCCTTTGTGGACTAGGCTTATCTGTGCTCCAGAGTCAAGGGGAGTGTTTCTTTGCTTTTGGAACCCATTTTGATTATAAATCTTGCATGTTATCACCTGCAAAAGAGTATAATGTGGCTTGGAGAGTTACACGACGCCAACTTCAACTGCAGTGCTCTTGTGAACTAATGGGTGATGAAAATGCATGCATTCCCTTCCATTCTCAGTCTTTGTACACTTTTGATGTCTCCTACAGTTATCAACTCTATGCTTTCTTCTGACTGCTTTCTTACAACTAAAGTAAACATGGTTTTCTTTAGCGACCTTGATACACCAGTTAATTCTGACTGCAGAAAGTTTGGGGCATGTGTCTGGCCAATGGGACAAATTTTTACAGTACCAGCATTTGTACCACCTCTAGTCGGGTGTGTCGAATTGAAAGGCATAAACTGATCTACTAGATCTTGATGGGGCAGTAGCACGCAAGTATGATTTTATCTCAACATCCGTCCATGTCATCAGTCACTCTAAAGTTGCTTTTTCTCCCTCATTCTCCAAGTCTCATGACCAAACCTTTCAATTATCTGAACACAATTTCTGCTCCATAATGGATAGCATGTGATTGTTGTCAATGTCATTTTGACTTCTGGCTTCCTTCAGAGTGTTAAACCTTCACTTAACTAGTGAACTAAGTGGCAAAATCTTGCATCCTCTCCAGGTTGCAAAGCTGTAAACTTAATTATGTCTTGAGTGATGGTATTGGACACAAACCTTGGATCTACATAAACAGAGTCCAAATGATTCTATGCTGCCTCATAGCCTGTACATATCCCTTTAATTAACTCTAATGGTTTATCTTACAGACATGTTCAAAGAAAAGGAATTACATTCCTTAAGCTGAATTTCGATTCTATTGCATGCTTAAAATTGGCGTGAAAAATGGCACTATCTTTTACTGTATTTACTTTTGTGTAAGTTACACTTGTGTATAAGTCAACCCCCAATTTTCAAGGTCAGAAATTGGATTTTCATCATCTCTTGTTTGAAACAAAATTAAGACTGAGAGAAATTGCTTAAAAAGTTAATCTCTTATTTCTGAGAATGTATTGAAAACAAGGTGAAGTAAAAAAACTGCAGAGCAAAGTATAAACTGTGCTGTGAAGTTTATTAGCACTTGTTTGTCACCATGATTTCAGCATACATGAGCACTTTGATTTACTAGGGAAGTATTTTTAAATTGCAGTGAAAATGAAATCTTGTTGCATTGAATTAACCAACCTTTATCTTAATGTTGAGTTTGAAAGGAGATTTAGTAGACTGAAGGAATAATGGAGAGCTTCAAAGGATAGCACATATTAAACAAGACTGCATGAGACAACAGCATTTGCTAGGTCACCAAGCTTCTGAAATAATTCTATGCAAACAAAAGTTCAGTGCCGTAAACAGCAGTGAAGCTGTAAGAAAAAGTCTGCTCTACAGATCATAAGGCACAATAGAAATCAGCTCCAGTAACTTTGTGTTTAAGCAAATTAACGACGAAACTTGAACACAAATAGAACTGGTTTTGTAAACTTGGTTTTCCTAACTGACTTCAGGCAATTGTTATGCTAATTTGTTGGATTGCTTGGGTCAGGTCTTTTTGTATGACTCATGTATAGGTTGAGGGTGATTTTTTGGGTTGAATTTTTGAGAGCCTTATAGCTACCCTTATGCTCTTTGAGGGCCAAGCTCTTTTCTATTTCTAGATTCCTGTAGTGAGTTTCTCAAACTATATCCTAGGTAAGCTGGAGACAAGTGTGCCAACTAATTGGGTTAGCTCAGTGGTAGTGATTTCATGTTTATGTTGCATTGCTGTACATTTAGCTTTCACTTTGGTTTTTTTGTCGTCAGTGAGGGCAATTGTCATTGACAGAGTCAAGGACAAAACCTAAAAATGTGATTGGCTGAGCTGGTATGACAGATGATTTCTGCATTTTAATTACAAACCCCAAGCTCGTAAATAATGTCTGTATATCAAGATATTAAGCAGGCGTTCATTGGTATCTCTACCCTGGAGGTATGAATCATCTATGTACCCCACATTTAGGTGACCTTTCTGTCTTTAAGGTAGAGTATACTGGTTTCAACAGCTTGGTAAAACACCTTGGTGCAGATGAAAGCCCACCCTCCCAGCAAAATCTCAGATACTTGCAATGTTCCCCAGCAATGGGAACTGAGTAGTAGGCATCTTTGAAATTGATTGATGCTATGAAACAATTTGGAGTCATGAGTCACACAGCAGTCGCATTTTGAAATGGTGTTTCTCTATGTGCTTCTTAAGCCCCTTTAAACTCAAAATGATGTGGTTTTTTCCTGACAAATATAGTGGAAATGTATTTGTCTGGAGTGTATACAGAAGGCTCAATGACACCTAATTCAAGCAGGTGAGCAATTTCTGAAGTAATTATTTCTTCCTCATTGGAATCAAACTGAATTTCAATCCTTGGCCTCAGTTGAGTGGGATTTTCAATTTCTAGATGGCAGTGCTGTACCATTTCCAGTATATTTTAGTCTGCTGTGATACTCATCCACATTGAAACAAAATCCCACAGCCTACCAGCAAATCTATTTAGGTTTTGGTCAGCTTAGTAATCAGGGGATTGCTGTTCTTTCCTTGTTCATTCAGTCCCTTTTTCTTGGTGGGTGGCTCTTCCTTGACAAGTGATTCATTTTCGTCCTTAGACATGCTTGAGTCACAATCATCAGCCGAGTCCTCCTCACTGTTGCCACCTGAACATGATGCAATCAAATTGTTCTAGTCATTGAAACCTGCATTTGTTGAATCCCTTAGGCTTGAAGGCCTTTTCCTGCCTTTTTGTGAGGCTGGATTTCCAGCTGATTTATTCACCTCATCAATTTGAGTATCCCCCTTAGAGGATTCTTCCTTACCCCTGACCTATTTAGGAGGGGTTAGAGGTGGATTGTTGTCCATTTTCAGCAAATAATACAGCGTCTTTGTCCTTAGATAAAAAACGTGCTTGGACAAAGAAGGCATAAGCTTGCCCTGAGTTGGCGCATGCGCTTGCTATCTCATGTGATCTTACAGCATGATAATGAGGTAGAACTAATTTTAACCTATGATCAGTTGATTGATGTCAGATTCAAAGAGAGATGACCTCTTTTGTGTAGCAGGTGTTGCATGATAATAAGAATGATTCATTTTTTCTGTTTATTAACCAATAATGCTCACTAAATTTGTTTAAAAATCTTCTAAATTACATCATAAGTTTACTATTTGTTCATATGAAAACAGACCTCAGGTGAGAAAAATTTGAAAGGAACAACTAAATAAAATGGTCTTAGTTTTACTCTTTACATAACTTAAACATGCTGTAGTTCTTTTTTGGTCTAGTAAATTGTTGGAGAGCATGGACTGAAAAGCTACACTTTTTACAGGACTCAAGATTATCCTTAGGAACCATGCACAATTCCTTGTTTGTGGGGTCGAGTGTTCTCCTAGATGCATGTTCAATTAACAAGTCTGTATCCTCAACTTAACTCCCGGCATGTGTTTCTCTAATTTGCCTTACTTTTCTTTCTATATTGGTTTTAGACTATTTAGCGGTCATCTCAGAGGACAAATCGCTACCATGAAAGATGATATTGTGCAATATCCCATGAGCCTCCAATCAAGATATGTGCATCACATAAGATCACATTCACATATTCCTCGTGGTTTGGTTTGTGATTTATGGGAACAAAAGAACTCCAGGGATTAAAGTAATGGCAAAAACAAGGAGGAAAATGCTCTTTCTGGTATAATGGAAACAAACACATTATGACAACTAGAAGGTACCAGTACCCTGGAATAACTAAGCAGCTAAAAAATGTCAGGGAACTGCAATAAGTTACCTGTTTATAGTGGAGGTACAGTACACATAGACTACACACTAAAAAGAGATTTATGATAATATTTAAAAGTCTCCAAAGATCAAATCTTAGCTACAGTTATATACATACATAGACAGTGTTTTAAGATAAAACATTAGTTCAATGAAAAATAGTGTTCCTTATGATACTTGTATGGCTGAAATTGTAGGGAAAAGGCAGTTTTCATCTGTTTATTGATTGAATGTTAGATGATAGGCACCTGAAATTGTACATTCATTTCATTCATTTTGCGTGTGGACCTTCTCGGTGGCTGTAAAGGACTTAGGTACATCTGGCACCGAAGACAACGGATCGCGCGGCTGGTCGAATGCTTCCACACGTGTATCTGGAGGTGCCTGTTCATGTGTATCTTCGCGTGTCTCTGTGGATGACTGCTTGCGCACCTCTATGACATCGTCATCTTCAACTTTGATAGGCGCTTCATTAGACTTGCATAGCTCAACACGATTTCGTCGAAGGAGTCCTTGAGGCAACTCAACCTCGTAAGATCTTTTGTCAAGGTGACTCTTTATGACACCCTTTTGCCACTCTTTTCTTCCCGCCCGCCAGGGCTCAACTCGCACAGTATCTCCGGGCTCTAAGGGCTGGAGGTCTCGTGCGCCTCTGTTGTTGTACTTGGCTTGATGCTGCTGGCGGTGATGAAGCTTGGTATGTGTCACGTTCTCATCTGAAACAGATGGCTTTAATAATGCAGCAGTCATTGGGAGCAGACTTCTTGTCCTTCTGCTAAATAGCCGCTGTGCTGGGCTGATTTGCATACTCGCAGGCGGTGTGTTTCTGTGGTCTAGTAAAGCGAGAAATGTGTCTGAACCAGTCTTGCTGCACTTTAACAGAATTTTCTTCGCTTACTTAACGGCGCTCTCAGCCTTTCCATTTGACTGACTATGATACGGACTGCTGGTTCTGTGCTCAAAATCCCACTCTTTAGAGAATTTCAGGAAATCGCACGAGACCCGTTATCAGTAACGAGTTGCTCAGGAATGCTTGATGACGTAGACAGAGGATGTACTTCTCAGATGGTTGAGCTCGAATAAATCACTAAAATAGTCCACAGTCACAAGGTAACTTTTTCCATTTAACTCAAATAGGTCTGCTGCAACAAACTGCCACAGCCGACTAGGTGCTTTGTGGCTGATGAGTGTTTCCTTCCTTTGACCCTGTTCGTACTCTCTGCAGGCTTCACATGTTGACACATAGTTCTTGATATCTCCTGTCATCCCAGGCCAATAAAGACACTCACGCATTCTGTTAAGGCAACCATTAACTCCAAGGTGCGAATTGTGAATACTTTTGAGGAAACCACTCCTTGCAGCCTTGGGCACCACTACCCTATCTCCCTTAAAAATCAGACCATCCTGAACGGAGCGCGATGAAGTGGTTTCATGAAAATTGACTCAATTGGCTTATGGTCAGTATGGACAACAGTTCTTCTACTGAAGGTAAAGTCATTGAACTTCTCTACTGAAAACACGATTGCCAACATCTCCTTTTCAATCTGCACATAGCGAGATTCTGTCTCTGTTAAGGCTCTACTAGAGTACGCAATTGGGTGACCATTCTGTATTAAAGCTGCATGTAAACCACTCTGGCTGCTATCACACTGGATTTCAAGCACTTAAGTGGGCTTGTAGTAGGCTAGAACGGGTGCTGATGCAATCAATGTCTTGACATCATTCCAAACCTTCTCTTGCAAATCATCCCAACACCATGCTGCATCTTTATGGGGAAGATCTCGTAGAGGCTTCATCACATCAAATAAGTGGGGTAGAAAATGGCTAAGATAATTGACCATTCCATTCAGGCGTAAAATATCACCTCGGTCCTTTGGGCGTGGCATCTCGACGATTGCTCTCACTTTCTCTGGATCTGGCTTTAGACCCTCTGTGGTTAGCAGGTGCCCATGAAATGGAACCTCTTTACACTTGTACTCTAACTTCTCGGCATTGAGCTTGGTACCTTTCTGCTGACATCTGCGCATGAATCCATCTAGATTGCTGTCATGATCAGCCTCACCCGTGCCATGGATGAGAATATCATCTGCAATACACTTTACACCCCGGAGGCCTTGTAACTCTTGATGGAGACGTTTCTGAAAAATTTCACTCGAAACACTGAGACCAAACGGCAAATGGAGCCAACGATATCGCCCATATGGCATAGCAAATGTCATGAGCATACTAGACTCGCGATCTAACTCCAGATGCCAAAAGGCAGAGGCTAAATCAACCTTTGTAAACACACGTGCATCTGTCAAGTTGGGCAACAAATCATCAATGACGGGAATTTGATAACGTTCCCTCTTCAAGACAGTGTTAAGTGGTCGCGGGTCAATACAAACACGCAGTTCGCCAGACTTCTTTACAGCTACAACAAGCGGACTAACCCACTCGGTCGGTTCATCAACAGGAGTGATAACTTTAAGACGTACAAACCTTTGGAGCTCTTCTTTGAACTTCTCCCGAACAGACACAGGGACTTTTCTTGCTGGAAGGATAACAGGCTTGCAATCTGAGTCAACTTGCAGGTGAACTTTTCCTGGAAGTGTTCTGAGACCTTTGTTAAAGACATCCGCGTAATTAGCTGTGAGGTCATCATTTGCATTCTCCACGACATTAATGAAGTTTTCCTTGTGTACAGTTAACAGCTTCATTTTCTGCGTTGAATTTAAGCCAAGCAGAGGGGTCAAATCCTCTTTCACAACTAGAAACCGGACCTTGTACTTCTCATTAGTTTTCGGATTCACAACAGGCAATGCACAGGAACCGACAGGCGTCTCTTTAGTTCCATTCCACATGACAAGCATTTGCGAACACAAGTCGAGTTCCTCCGTCTCAGCATACCTCAGAGGTAAAATATTTGCACTTGCACCACAATCAACTTGAAATTGCACCGGTTGCTGCCTAACCAGCATCCTCGCATACACAGCTCTCCCTCTCAAAGCCTGTACTCGTACAACGCTGATCTCCTCTAACTCCTCTTTGCTCTCAATATTATGGACAGGAACTTTCTTACACTTCTTGGCAAAATGATTCTTTTCCTTGCATCGCTTGCACTTCTTTCCCCATGCGGGGCACATCTTCCTATCAGGTTGATGGTCATAGCCACAAAATTTGCAGGAAATTTTCTTTGCCGACTGCCCATCCACTGGCGTTGGAGCTCGCTGCTTTTTAGAACTTGACTTTACTTGATTAATGTTATCCACCGGCCCAGATAACGACTTCATTTGCAACTCAGCAACTTCCTCACTGCGACACACGTCGATGCAACAATTCAGAGTAAGATCTCTCATTCTCAGTAACTTCTTGGTTGTCTGCTCATCTTTAATTCCAAGCACAATGATTAAACTATCCCGCAAACAATTGCAAAAATTACATGTTTTGGCCAGATTCCTCAACTTGGCAACAAAACTATCAACCTACTCCGTTGGAAGCTTGTCTCGCGTATTAAAACAGTATCGTTCGTAAATTTTGTTGACTTCGCCAATGCAATGCTTCTCCATTTTTCCCATAACAACGCGCCAATCACTCGAGTTCTCCCCCTCGGCGTAGTTGAATGTTTTGATGACTTTCAATGCATCATCTCCGATTGTATGTTTGAACATCGCCAACTGAAACTCTGGGGTTTCCCGATCCAAACGAGAAATGACAAAATAATTGTTATATTTCTCCTTCCAAAGCTTCCAGTTTTTGGCAATTTCTCCACTATGTTTCAAGTCAAGGTACTTCGGCAGAGTAATCTGATGAAAGGTCGACGATGGCAGCGCTCCCGCACCAGACTGTCCATTGGAGGTATCGCCACAGGGCATGCTGTATAACATAGATGGTTAAAAACGAAGCAGAAGCGGCCACCGCTGCCACCATGTAATAACACAGCGATCCACACGTTCAAGCGGTTACTGAACAGACATTTAATCCCTATCAAGTGCCTCCAAGGTAGAAACGAAAACTGAATATATAATGAGTCTAGCAGCACGTGCAAATGAAATTCAGCACAGGGTGTGAAAATTACAATATTATAACAGTTAGTATGTAAGCTACGAAACACATTTATGTAAAACTGATGTTACTCAACAGTGTATTCTATGAGGTCACTTTCAAAAGGGGATGAGGGCAATAAAAAGGAGCACTAGGCAAAGATACACCTAAACTAATTTAAGTGCAGCCAAGAAGGTTTGCACTATTGGATAAGTTTGTAGATATGAACTCAATGTCTTCTTGATCTACAATTTTCTCCTTAATAGTGATAGTGTCAAGTCTGTTGGTAAGGAGGTTACATGGTTGGTAAAGAGAAACTTGGGAACATCTTTAAATGTTGTTAATCACGTCTTTGTTAGCCCTATTTAGAAGGTTTGAGTTTCCTTGAACTTGGTTGGTGCTTGAGTGATAGCATTATACTTGGTATTTGTAGCTTACAAGGCCTGGGGGTAGTGTCAAGTGTGCTCATAGGGAGATCGAGTGGTTGTTGAAGGGAAACTTGGAAACATCTTCAAATGCTGTTAACCACACATCTTTGTTATCCAAATTGACCAGTATTTGTACAGATGCATCTCCTCAAATTTCAGTTTTCATTTGTTGTTCTTGTTGGTTTTTACAGATGATCATCTTTCATGCATTAATTTCTCATCTGCATGCTTGTTCTAAATTAGAAATGCTTTCCTTGTTGGTATCCTTAAAAGTTCCTCCCCTTCACATCCTTCCAGAATCCTTGAGTAACAGCACAGTATAATATAGTAGCTTATTTTTTCTCTGAGAAGTCTGTTCTGAGATAATTTACAATTAGTGAGGATAAGAGCTAGTTGCAGTGATTGTCAAGAAATAATGGACTAATTAACAAATAAAATCGTATTGATCAAAATCTACTAGTATGTGAGCCTGGAAAAACTAACATGCTTGAATAAAAATGTAGCAGTTTATGATACTCTTTTAGCTGTTAGCAGCTTCATATTTAAAGTGTAATACTGGGAAAGTCACATCTCAGTGAATTACTTTCACACCACAACATTTATGCTTTAGACACCAAACCTAAACCAGAGAATTGATGCACTTATTTGCATTGTTCTGTATAGCACCACACATGCACTTTTCCAAGAATTCTGTTTCACTTTATGTATGGAAAGTGAAGTACAACAATCCCAGAAAAACCCTGGGCAAGCAGTCATCCCCTTTATAGGTCAACGGCCTTGTTACTAGATATGGTTGCCACTTACGACAAGAGTTCTTCTCAGGAGGAGAAAATCTGTTGCTTTGCTGGATCTTTACAATGTAGGCTAAACAGAGTGGTGTAAGATAGTGACAATGTTCTTTTTCATGGTGTAAGCTACATTAACCTCTCTGTCTGATGGATTTGGGGTTGGCAGAATGTTCTTTGCAATGGCTAGACCATGGTATCTTTGAATCTTTTTAATTTGTTCATCTGAAAGGCAGCTGCACCCTCCAACTGGCTTTTTCATGTAAGAAACAGTTCCTTGAAGAAAATCACTGTACATTATAAGCCATGAACAGTATAAAAGTAAACAGTGAAGGAATAAATAAAGCAACCAAAGGTAGAGTAAACATAGCCAAACAGTACATGAACAGCTATGTGACATGTAAATTATCAAATTACGGATCTCTCTTTCCTCACACACATGTGGCCTGGCGAGAGTTAAGGAAAAATTGTTTAAATCTATTAGCCTGGCTCCATGTTCTTTAAAATCCCTTTCTTCTTCTAGACTTTGTGATGAAGAGGCTGATAAAACCAGTTTCAATAGAGACACCAATTCATCACTGTCAGATTTAAAGAGAGGTGACCTTTTTGATGCAGCAGGTGTTGCATAATAATAATATTAATGATAATAATAATCATTATTTCTGCTAATTTACCATTAAAAGGAACAACTTAATAAAATGGGCTTAAATCTACTCTTAAGAATTTAAACATGCTAGTTCTTATTTAGTGTGGTAAATTGTTTCAGATTTAGGGAGCAATGACTGAAAAACTGCCCTTTTTATTGGATTCAAGATTATCCTTAGGAACTATGCACAATTCGGTGTCAGTGGAGCAGAGTGTTCTCCTAGGCACATGTTTAATTAAGGAGTCTGCACCATCAACTTAACTCCCAGGGGGTGTTTCTCTCATTCACTTTACTTTTCTTTCTATATTGGTTTTGGACTTTTTACTGGTCATCTCAGAGGATAAATTGCTACCACGAGAGATGAGACTGAGTAAGTTTGTTGCTAGGTTGATTGTAGCATGTCAGAAATCTATCCCATGAGCCTCCAATCAAGATATGTGCATCATGTAAGATCACATACACATATTCCTCATGGTTTAGTTTGTGATTTATGGGAATTAAAGAACTCTAGAGAATGAAACAATGGCAAAACCTAGAAGGAAAATGCTCTTTGGGGTGCCATGGAAACAAACACATTTGAGAGGTGACCTAAAATTTACGTTATGAGGGCTAAGGCCATTTCCTACATTGTACAACTGCCTGCTGTTACATACTAGCAGCTGATTCTTTTTAGAGGATGAACTCAGGACAGGAGAGATATGGTTGAATTTTGAAGTATTTGTTAGCACGTGTGTAGTGTATTCACAGATTTAAACCAGGATGATTCTGACCTTACCACAAACAGTAAACAACAAAATTGCACAAATTGAGGATGTTGTTTAATCATCAACATCTCAATACGCATGCCCCGATATACAAAACAAGGGGGATGGGGAGAGAAGACCTAAACATTCACAAAAACTACATTCCTCCCTTCTTTGAATTATTTGTTAGGTTGAATGAAAACAAAAATACAATAAACCTAATCAACTTTATACGCATGCAAATGTCTCTGAATGTCTTATGAAAGTTCTAACAGTGTTTGAATGCTTCAAACTGGCCTAAATTAGAAGTGTACCACAACAACAAAAAAGTTCAAGTTCAGTTCAAAGTTCCAGTTTACATCTAGATTTAAGAGTTCTACTCTGGGACCAGCTGAACACTGCCTAGAACATAGTCCTGAAATCTAGACAGTGGTCATTTTACTCTTCATGGACATAAAGTGGAAGTCGAATCACTTTGCACCGTAGTGGTATCATCTGATGATTTGTACTCCACTGGTTTGTCTTCGCTTGTTATTCCAGGAGAAACATGTACAAATTCTCTAAACACTTGGTTTGGTGAACTCCCTGTTACTCCTTGAGCCTCTGTGGTATCTGCAATCTACTGGTGGCTTGGGGTGCATTATGTTGCTCTAGATACTTTTTCACAAGAGTATTGTATGCCATTTGCCTTGACAAGAACACTATTGCCATTCTTCTGAACAACTGTAAAGGGAGACTGTATGGCGTCGATAATAACACCTTGTCACCTTTTTGAATCTCGCTTTCATGTGCCTTTCTTTTGCAGTTTGCACACACCTTCCCTTTCTCTTTTCTTTCACTCTCATTGTCTCTGACTTCGTCTTCATCACTGAACTCTTGCAGTTGGGGTAGTTTGGTCCTGATGCATCTTCCAAACAACATTTCTGTTGGGCTAACCCCAGTTGTAGTGTGAGGTGTACTACGATACATCATTAAGAAGTTGTCTATCTCTCATCTCCAGTTACGACCCTTTGCTTGAGCAATATTCAGGCATTTCAGGATACTGCGGTTTTGTCTTTCTATCTCCCATTTGCTTGTGGCCATAAGGGTGTGGTTCACCAGTGTTCAATTCCACTCTCTTCTAAGTACTTTTTGAAATAGTCACTGACAAACTGTGACCCATTGTTAGTCCAGAGGGACAAAGGAAGGCCACGAGTGACAAAAATCTTGGACAGAATTAATACAATCCTCTCAGATGTAATAGATTTGGTGAATTCCATTTCGGATAAGTGACTGTAAAAGTCCACCATGACAAAGACATAATCACCAGAAGGGAGTGGACCTAATAGGTTAGCAGCTAGATGTTGCCGTGGAACAGAAGGTAACTCTGTATGTGTCACCGGCTCAGGTTTAGGTGGTTGTGAAACTAACTGACAGCCATGAACAAAAACTCTTTCCACCTCTTTGTCAATGTCTGGCCACCACACTGTGGTTTGCAGACATTGTTTCATTGCCACAGTCTCAGGATGACCTTCATGTGCCAACTTCAGTGCTTGACAACGAAGCTGCTTTGGTACTATAATTTGAGTTCCACAGAGAACAAGCTCTCCAATCGCACTTAATTCACCTTGCATCAGCAGGTACTCCTTGATTTCTATAGCATGTCACCTTCCATTCAAGAAGCATTCTTGTACACTTTTCAGCTGTGGGTCATGTTTAGATGCTCTCTCGATTTCACGGTTGTCAAGGCAACAGGCATTGATTCTTGAGCTACCCACTTTACATACTCTTCTGTTTTGTTTTGGTCTCTTGACTGTGGCACTGGGTGCAGCAGGTGTGACAATGAATCTGCAATGTTCTTGGGGCCTGGAATGTATTTCACTGTGAATCTATAGGGCTGCATCCTGAGTAGCCATCTCTTGATCCTAGTACAGGTCTTGGATTTAGGCAAGAAAATACATTCTAGAGGTTTGTGGTCAGTCATTAATTCAAAGTCAACACCATACTATTGCTAAAGCCTCTTTCTAAGTCTGAGAATATTGGCGTTCTGTGTCAGACAGGCTTTGGCTCGCATAGCTAATAACTCGTAGCTCTTTTCCTTGCTGTTGCATTAATACAGCTCCTAAGCCTACAGGGCTTGTGTCTGCAATCACCTTGGTTGGGGCATTCTTATCAAAATATTCAAGTGCTGCAGCACTAGACAGTCGTTTCTTTAACTCATCAGATTGCTCCGGTTCCCACAACAAATTC